ATTGCCAGAACAAAAACAAGTAGTGAAAGTAGTGCACAAAGTGACAAGAAATATAATTTTAGAAAATGAATACAACTATAAATATAGTATTGTAATTTAGGATTTTTGTCGTTCTTCGTTTTGTACTATAGCAATGATTGTTTTATAACACCTATATTTTATAAAAAAACTAGTTTTTATTGTTTAAAAATTGTTTTTCACACAAACTAATTAAACAAATTGAAACAAAATTTAACAATTAGTCAGAAATGTCATTCTTTTGTTACCAACAACGATGTTACAATGCCACGTAAATTTTCGAAAGACTGTGTAATAGCCGTGTTCAATAAAGAAAAGTTATACTACAGCAGTTTTCAAACCTTTTTACATCACAAAATATCTCTGATATGTACTTAGATAATTTTATAATAGAACAATATTCTGCAATATTGTGTTCATTAATGAATAGAACTAACGTCCACATATTCCCGTGCCAACTAACTTTAATTTTATTCAGTTTACATAGTGCTAAAAGAAAACAACATGAGAACATCGACATTGTAATAGTTCCGATATACCACGTCGTTCAGCGGCATTTTTTGACGATAATATTTGCAAACTTAAACACTCACACAATAACATGTATGGATCCATTAACATACAATTTACAATATGAAAATACGATCTTTAACAACAGCCACGATCATATAAAACGAATTTCAAAACCACACCGTTGGGCAACGTGTAAACTTAGAAAGGTAGATTATCCTTTACAAGCAGATAGTTACAATTGTGGAGTTTTTGTCTGTCATTTTATTGAGTGTATGTTATGAAATAAACCATTAAATGCAGATTCATACAGAAATATAATTATTGAAAAAACTCCTACTAACTACGCTGAAGAGGTTCATAATGAATCAAATATGCTGAAAAAATAGCTGCAAAAATAATTTGGAAGAGCTGTGTGACTTTTGTAAATACCGATCTTAAACTGTAATTGTATTAACTGTAGTTGAATTTTTATGTAACTACAATTTAATGTAGCAACTCAATGTAACTATAATTAATTTCGATGTGTTAATAGTTTACTACTTATACAACTTTGTTTAATTGATCTCATTTTGTAAATAATTGTAGTAGCGAGTTTTAGATACTTATTATCTTTATAGAAAAATTATATAACATACAGTTAACTTGTCGTTAATAATAATGAATTGTAGTATTTTATTAATATATTGCGTTTCATTAGCAACGTCATTGTAACAATCCTAATACGATATATAAAATCTCTTGTTGCAGTTTCGTCTAGTTTTCTTCTCTTCGCTTATAATTCATCATCACATTCATTACTAACAGAACTGTCGCTGTTATCACTTTCGATTATTAATTAAAATATCCTCTTTTTAATACAAAAAACCGTTTTGAAAAATCACTATCAGTTCTTGAGAAATAAATTTTTGAAATGATCGACAATTTTATCGAATTTTGCAATTTCTGCCGATTAAGTTTTAAAAATTCGTATAAAATCCATTTTTTGGAATATGAGTATGAAAATGTCTCAAAGTGTTAATAAGAGTGTCCTCTTTGAAATGAACCAATCCGTTTTGAAAAATAACTTTTAGTTTTTGAGAAAACAATATTTGAAGTTTTGATAAAATTTTCGATGTTGCAATTTTTATCGATAATTTTAAACTCCTTAATAAATTACTATTTTCCACTAATTTACAACATAACATCAGTAAAAATTTTAATACATCGACACAATTAAAACAATATAAAAAAATTCCATATACCCCCGTATTGACAGAATTACTTCGAATACATTTAAAACGAGATAATTTGACATTCATCAATATATACTCAAAAAAATTAAATAAATATTTCTCAACTTTAAAAGATAAAACAGAAAAATTCTTAGAGTCGGAACTTATATATTGTATTATGTATTATATTGTATTATACATGTGAGTGAGGCAAGGAGTCTTGGTTTGGTTGTAGATAACAGTTTTAGATACCATAGTCAAGTTAATAACTACATCAAGAAAGCGTATCACTCTTTAAGGCTATATCCCCATAGAAGCTATTTACCTATCATGTTGAAGAAAATTTTATGTGACTCCTTGGTTCTTTCTCAGTTTAACTATATGATTCCCTTATATCATCCGGCTGTGTGCTCATATGACTCGGGGAGGATTCAGAGAGTTCAGAATCCGGCCTTGGCCAGATATTAAAAACCTATTACTTAGTACTCCACCATTTACAGGAATTAGTATCTCTTTTAGGTGTTGGACACTGCAGATAATAGTCAAGTTCAACCTCAATAGGACTTTTTCATTGAACACAACTTTATTTAAATCAGGTTTGTCATCTTGCCAAAGTGTTAATAAAAGTGTCCTCTTTCCAATGAACCAACCCGTTTTGAAAAATCACTTTTAGTTCTTGAGAAATAAATTTTTGAAATAATCTACAATTTTTTCGAATTTTGCAATTTTCGCCGATTAAGTTTTAAAAATTCGTATAAAATCCATTTCTTGGAATATGAGTATGAAAATTTCCCAAAGTGTTAATAAAAGTGTCCTCTTTCCAATGAACCAACCCGTTTTGAAAAATAACTTTTAGTTTTTGA